CTCTACTTTTCTCACATATCATTTATCAGCTAAATATTTTACACTTTGTGTTGACTTAATATTTTAATTTTTTCAAATGTTCTTAATGTTTTCTAAAATTTCCCTGAACATTTTCTTTTCACAATTGTATTGTTAAGGCAAGAGGGAAAAATAGCAGATGATACCTTGCCTTCTAAACAGAAATGACCTTGTGTTTTGGACTGTATCGATCCTGAAATACTGTGTTATAAAGTGCTTAGCCTAGTGCTCATCACACTGTAAGCACTCCACACATTTTTAATTGTTTCATGGAAAATTTCAAACATACAATAAGATGATAGGCCCCTATATATTCATCACTTAGCTTCAAAAATTATCAACACTTTGCTATTCTTGGCATTTTTAAAGTTTGCAACTATCCTTCCCTTCCTATACATAGTATATATAGTTTTCTTCCCAAAAAACACACATAAATGTAATATATACTGTATATAAGCATAGAAAAGTCAGAAGAAATTTATACCAAAAGGTTAATTGTGGTAAATCTATAAAGTATAGAATTATGGGTAATTTAATTTCATTCTTATTTTTCTACATTTTCTCATTTTTCTAAAATGAATGTGTATTAGATAATTTTAATAGCTAAAAGAAAAGAACTCAAGCAAATATATGACTCAAAAAGTGAGAAGTTATTTCTGAATTCCACTTTTAGATGTAAAAAACATACAAGAAAAAAAATTCATACCAGAAATTTTTTTAATGGGGGGAGGATGTTAATACCCATTTACCCAATCTCCCAGATTTCCTACTGTTATTGTTCAGTGGTGACCCACATATTAACCAAATGCAACGTGTCAACCTTGACTGGATTCCTACTCAAACATCCAACTGTAAAAAGATGGTTTTTAGGCAACTAGGGAAATCTGAACAGACTGGATAGTAAAGTAGATTGTTGTTATTTATTCTATTAATGAGACACTGATACATTATAGTTTTTTTTAAATCCTTACTTAAATTGGGAAATAAAATGTCTGTGATTTGTTTTGTAATATTCTAGCCAAAAATAAAAAGTAGGGAATGGCACAAAATTTCAGTTTTATAAAATGAAAAAATTCTAGAGATCTGTTGCACAACAATGTGCATATAGCTACCATTATTGTAGTATACACTTAAAAATAGTTAAGGTGGCAAATTTTGTTGTGTTTTTTTACTACAATAAAAAAAAGATTGTCAAGATAATAACTATTATTGCTAGGTAATGGGTATAAAAAAGTTTATTTAGATATTTAAAATAAATGATGATCATACAGCACTGGTACAGACTGAATCACAGAAAGATTTAATTTTGTTTCATTTGCTAAGGGAGAAAGAGAAATACATTTATAAGTAACTTTTTTTGAGTTAAACAATCAGACAGTTCTACTTTAAACGAAACTACTGGAAGAATAATTCAAATACCTTAGTAGGGAAAACAAATATTGGCTCTTTAAAGACTTCTTATTCTAGCCCTTGCTGAATTATGGTAAATAAAAATTGCATTTTTACTAACAATGAAGTTTTAATTATGTAGAGTCAATAATCACAATAGTTATTTGAAACAGGATAATAGTAATTTAAAAAGAAAATCTACAATCAATGATAATACTCCACAGATAAATGACTGAGAACTGTAAAAGTTCAGACTCAATTTGTTTTCTGGCCGATCTGAAGGCAACAATTAGGATACGGTGCTTTCGTATTCAGGTCAAAAAACCCTGGTCTAGACATCTCTGGATTTCATTGACCTGCTCTGGCTGCACAGCTTGCTGCAGCCTAGAAGATAATTTTCTTCCTTGGGGTTGCTGTGGACCCCTTTCTACAGAGCCATAGTCAGTACGTTATCAGACAGCTGATATTCAGGGAGACGAACAAAAAAAATCAATGCATTACTGAGACTTGAAGCAGCAAATAAATGCAGATTATAAAGGCAAAAAACAAAAACACCTTCCCTCTAGCTCTTTTAACTTATCCAGTCTGTTCCCTCATTCTGTAAAACTGAAATAACTACCAACATTGACAGATTGCCATGATATTAAACAGATAACATACACAAACTCATCTAGAAGTACTGAGACAATATCAAGCTCTAGCACATAATAGATGATCACAAACATTCATTTCTCCCATGTTCATTTTCCTTTATGTTCTTGATACTAATTGAAAAGCAAACGAGCTGAGTATGTTCTAAGAAGACACATTCCTAAAGTAGGTGTCTATTTTTTGGTTTTGCTTAAGCTACTAAAAGGAAAGTTTCTACCAGTGTTCTAAAAAAGTGCTTCTGTTACCACAAAGACACTACTTCTAGTTAGTGTGTGTACCAATGCAGTGTGACTTTCTCAGCATTTGTGTCCAAACAGGCAGACGAAATGAAGCTCCCCAGCTGAGGAACCTCAGCCAAGGTACCCCAGCTATCACAGAGATGCAGCCAGGCATGGACAGAAGTAGAGCCAAGGGACCCAGGGACAGACACAGAAAAAGACATGGAAAAGGAGACAGAGAGAGACTGGGGTGGGAGAGGGGTAGAGTGGGAGTGGGGTAGAGTGGAAGCGGGAAGAGAGAGGAAGCTAGATACCAAGATTAGGGGAGTGAACATGGATGTGAGCAGACAGTGAGCAAGACAGAGAGTGAGTGAGCCAATGAGAAAGAAGGAAGTGAGCAAAGGAGCAAGCGGGCAAGAGGACATGAGCGTGGGTAGAAGAGTGCGTGTGTGCACAGGAGGAGATATGTCTAGATGCTGAAGAGGAGAAGCCTATAAATAGAGGAGGAGAGGCTTCCTATCCAAGAAAGACAGCAGGGTTAGTAGTGAGAAGCTGAAAGAGGCTAAATAGCACCAGGAAGTTGCATTAAGGTAGTTAAAATTTAATCAAAACCTATCTGCTTCTCATTATTTTAAAACATCTTAAGCCTACCTGAATTATCTCTGATTGTTCAGCCAGAGCCTTCCTTTGTGCCTCCAGAGAAGATACCTGTTGCTGATAAATCAAGCGTTGTTTCTCCCAGTCCAGAGATTTCTGACGAAATTCCTGAGGAGGCAATTAAGGTACTTAACTTCCAAGTACTTCTGCTCACAGTCACATCTTCCCAGACCCACTTGTACGTTAACTTTTCCCGTGTCCCTGGGTCTGCTTGCACCTTTCTCCACAGCAGGGGCCCCATTACTCACTTAGCTGACAAAACTGCAGGGTAATACTGATTCCTCACACACTGTGCCTCTGGATATCTGTCTTTCTAAATTTAACACCCTAATGGTGAAGAGTATGAACAACAGATGCTGAATACTGGATTCATGACGATTTTCATAGATTTGCTGCCACCTAAGGGTTGTTATAATTTTCTAGTAATTTTTCAGAAAACTGATGCTAAGTTAACTAAAATTTCAAAGTATGATTACAGATATCCCTCGCTATCCAAATTCTTGACATCCAGACCCAGGAATTGAACAAATTAAATTTTCAGGTAAGTCCCTTGGTAGCCGAAACCTTACTTCTCAGTATCTAAAACTCGGGAACAAAGTAGATTAAGGTAACACAATATCTTTTGATATCCAAATTTTTATTATCTCACAGAAGAATTACAAAGGTTTGAATGACAAGGAAAATCTGTACTAAATTTTAACAGATATTTGTAACCGAAAGCCAAACAGTTAAAAATTAATGATAAATCAACAGTAATTTCAAATTGTATGATCAAGAAAATAAGCCCAATATTTATGAAAATGGGGCAAATCAAAGAGAAAGGAAACTCCATCTTTCTATCACTGTCTTCTAGACTCTCAACTCCAGAAGTCTTGTGCTCCTCAGGATAATTGTTGCTAACCATATTTCTAATATTCACTCATTCATTCTTTCAATCATTCTACTATGTATGCCAAGTACTGCTTTAGGTGTTGGGGATACAAGATTTAATAAAACAAACAAAAATCCTAGTCCCACTCAGTTGGAGGGCAATAGATAGCAGTCATTCACAGTTATTGTATATAGCATAATAGATGGAAACGTGTTTTGGAGAAAATAGAGCATGGTGTGCTCAGAGTAGGGATTGCAATTTTTTTTTTTTTTTTGGAGACAAGGTCTCACTCTGTCACCCAGGATGGAGTGCAGTAGTGTCATCATAGCTCACTGCAACCTTAAACACCTGGGCCCAAGCAATCCTCCTGCCTCAGGCTCCTGAGTAGCTGGGACTACAGGTATACACCACCATACCCAGCTGATTTGGGGGTTGCAATTTTTAAAAGGGATGGCCAGACTGAGTAAATAACATTTAAGCAAACACCTAGGAAGATGGGGATGAAGTTATACTATTTGGGGCAGAGGGAACAGCCCTGAAGTAGGAGCATCCTGGCGTGTTTAAGGGTGAGCAAGGAGACTGGTGTGGCTTGAATGGAGTGAGTGAAAGGGAAGTAGGAGGAGACAAGGTCAGAGAGTTAACTGGGAATGAGACCATATACATCATTAGGATAACTTTGGCTTTTAAGAGAAGCTACTGGAAGGTTTCTGTACAGGAGGTGACATGATTTGACTTACAACAGAATCATTCTGGCTATTGTATTGAGAAAAGAGAAGTCAAGGATGACTCCAAGGCTTTTAGGCTTGAGTAAACTGAGGGATCTAGTTGCCATCAACTGAAACAGGAATTGATGTAAGATTAGGAAGACAAAGTCAGGGCATTTTTTTGGACACGTTAAGTTTGACAGTTTTAGACATTATAGTGGAGAGGTGAAACAGACAGTTGATAGTTATTCTGTATCAAAGAGGAGAGGTCACGGTTAAATACATAAATTTGGTAACTGTCAATGTACACAGTGTTAAAGCTACGAGACTGAATTAGTGTTAAAGCTCACTCACCAGCGGAATGAGTGTAGACAGGAAAATAAAAGGTCCAACCCTAGGATGTTCATTCCAATGTTAAAAGCTTGGGGGGCACAAGAGATTGAGAAAGAGTGGTTAATAATATAGGAGAAAAACGAAGGAAATGTGGTTTTTCTCAAGCCAACCAAGAAAGCGTTTTAAGGAGGGAGAGACCAGCTGGGTACAATAATGATGCAAATAGGATGTGGAAGCTAAGGCCAAGCCTACAGGCTTTAGAAATGTGGAGGTCATCGGTGACCTCCATGTAAATAGTTTCTGTAGTGTGAGGAGATCAAGCCACATTAGTGGGTGCAAGAAAAATGGGACAAAAGGAATCGGAGACAAGTATAGATGCCTGAAGTGATTTAGTTATAAAATGAAGGAGAAAAGTGGGGCAGAGGAGGAAGAGAGGGGTCAAGAGAGGATATTTGATAGGGGAGAAATGTGGATGCTGGCAAAAAATATCCAGTAGGGCGGAAAAAACTGAGTATGCAGAAAAGAGAAGAATTGCTGGAGGGTAGGGAAGAGGGAGAGCCTGGATAATTCCTCCAGGAAAGAAGGCAGGATAATGGGCACAGATACAGATAGCACGGTAGACACAGGGTTGGAAGTCTGTGAACAGACAGGAAGATATCACCCAAAGGTGAGGATGTGGAACAACTGTTGAAAGTTTGAAGAGAAAAGAGGAAGTATGAATCAGTTACTATGAAAGGTAGGAGAATAAGAGGAAATGCAGTATGATTCTGGGCAGCAATAAGACCCATTTGAGGTTAGTGACCATGAATTTAAGATGAGGCCAGCCGGAGTTGTTATGTTTTTCTCCAGCCATTAAGCCACACATGGCAGGTAGAGAGTGGGCAGAAAGGGTGACACTTAACCACAGTTGTGGTTTTGCCAAGCAAATCTGATGAAGCAAGAGAGGCGCCCAAGAGATGAAGGGCAAAGTAAGGAATGTAACCACAGAATTTAAGCTGGATAAGGACTGATAAGTGAGGACACGAGGTAGATATGGAACAGTGAAAAGGTGGCAGAATTCAATCACTTTAAGGGATAGATAATGATCATTGAGAGTCAAAAAACTAGAAGTAGTAAGCTGAAAAGATAGGGATGGTAGTCAGAGTTACACACTTGAAAATGAGATTCTAGCAGGGATGTAAATATTGCTGATGATATGAGCTAAGGAATGGCAACGGAATTAAGCGGATGAAATAGGGAGGAGATCGAAATATCTATGGAGGAAAGAACACCATAAAACTCAGAGGCCAGAGTATTATAGGCGTCATCCCCGTGGACACTGAAATCCTCAGAGTTAAGATAAGAATAACGGAGAGTGACAACAAGCTGGGAGCTAGAATCAATGAATGAGCCAGGGAAGTAACCCAGGGATCAGAAGATGACTACTTTGGTTGTATGGCATTGGTTGGTGGTATAGGCTGATCGGGTTTTTGAGGTAGAAAGAAAAGAATATGGTCAGGAAGTAGCAATGAGAAGCAAGAAAGATATGGGGGATGGGGGAAGGTATCACTGCGAAGGGCTAGAGAGGAACCAGTATCTGCACAGTGCTCTGATTCTGTGCTCTTCAAATGTATAAAAATATTGAGATGTAAAAGAATTAAACACAGAAATTACAATTTTAAGTTGTAATAATATAGTGGCATTTGTGGGTGACAGGGTGCCAAGCGCAGAAAACTTGTAAGCAATCACATGAAGATGTTGAACAATGATTCTCAAATTAGAATCAACTAGGGGAGCTGAATAAAATGCAGATCCCTAGGTCACATGCCATACTACTGGGTCAGAATTTCTCAGAGCCTAAAAGCACCCTGGGGCTTCTTTTGTACACTGAGAACTACTGGCAAAGATAGAGGAGGGGAGTAACAGCCTTGCACTGCTCCTTCATCTACTCTTGGGAAAATTAGCTCACCACCTCCCCTTAAAGTCCTCAATATATACAATAATCACGGAGTTACTCAATCTTAATCAAAATAAGGTAAGCAAAGAGGGAGGTGAATGGCATACTATATCTAAATGGGAACTGAGGATAAACAATCTGGTATGTAGAATACTCTGTACAAAAAGTACTATGTACATTCAACATTTACTAAGCCCCACTCTCTTAGGTGCTTGAGGTACAACGACAAATAAGACAAGGACAAGGACACCACCCATCACAGACTGCAATAACTGTTTCACAATAAGGGAGATATTGGCATTTTGGGTACAACAATCCTTCCTGTGTGGATTAGTCCCAGGCATGTTTAGTATCCCTGGTTCCTGTCCCCTAAATGCCAGTTTCAAACTTGGTCATTTTGACAACCAAAAAACTGCCTCCATACATTTGCAAATGCCTTCTAAAGGTGGCACTGCCCTGTTGAGACTTATTGATAGATGGTAACCCTGTTAACCACAGGGAACCAGATGATGATATAGGATGTACAGCAGATGGCCCTCCCACCTTTCAAATAGTTCAGTGGCAGTCCTAGAGAGGGTAGAAAATTGGTTGCAGGAAATAGCACCATTAGAAACAGCAGTTTCCTACATGAAGGCTGACAATCACTATAACCAAATTATTACTATAAACATACCTCTATTTTTCCAGTTAACCTCTCAATTTCAGATCGATCTTCCCTGGGATTTTTGGTATTTCCTCTTAATTCCCTTATTTGCTTTTTCTGTAGCTTTTCATAGCTTCTCTTCAGTCTGCCTAACTGTAGAGACAGTTACTTCTATATTTAAAATTTAAGAATTTGCAAACAGTGGTGGGGAGGGCAAACTGGTATTATGAAAGCAAAAGCAGTGCTAACCAGTACTATTGAAAACAGACTGAGAACATGTTAGATTTCCAAACTAAAATACAAAACGAAACATTATATATGTAAAATAAACACTAGCAAAGAAATATATTCAAAGGAAAAATAGTTTTTAAACAAAACTTTAATTTTTATCACAATAGCTTTGTACTTAAAGACCCCACCACCTACTCCCACAATAAAAGCAGCAAATAAAAATGCTCTTTCTTTCCTCTAGGCCTGTGGTTCTCAAGCTATGCTCCTGTGAGCTACTGACATTCAGTAAGCAGGAGAAGAGTACTTTGGAACTAAATCAAAATAAAAGCAGTTTTTTCCAAATCTAAAGAATAAAATTAAGTTAATGGATAGAAGTTTCTTACTTTTCTTATTTATCCCAAAATGCTTCTTAAATCTTGGGATCCTCAATTATTTAAACTCTAGTAACTGATAAAATATTAAATATATTTTTGGTATCAGTATTTCACAGTATTATACAAAAGTAGCTCTATTTCTTTTGGGTATTCAACCAAGAACCATATTTTAGCATCTCCATTCTAGGTAGTATCAAACACATAATTGGACAAGACTTCCTTGCCTGGGTTAAAGAACAGAGAAATAGATTTCCACCCCTGTACCTCCCATGAATATGTGCTTCCCACTTTACAAAGTAGAAACTGGCTCTCATTAACAAAATTCTCAAGTATAAAAGAAAGAGAACTATACAACATGTAACAGAACTAAAATCTCACTTCTTCATGTAGTTTCTTTAACTCCTGCTTATACTCCACGGCCATCTCTTCCTTGATTTTTTCATGTTCTTCTATCTGTTGACGCAACGACCCAACCTAAAAGCAGATAGAT